CGTGAGTCAGACCTCCTAAAGTGGGTGACTCTCGCAGATGTCTAGAAAACACAACATTTTTAGTCTCTCACAAGCATGAAACTCTGCAGCTGTGACTTTTCAAAACACATTTTAAGACAAAAAAAAAAAAGAAAAAAGCTTGCTTATATACCTCTAAAAATATCTGCACAGTCCAAACCTGCAAACACTTACGTAGATGAGTAACTTTGCTGCCTGTGGAGCTACAGTGTGAGTTTGCAGGATGAAGTCTAAATACATCTTTGGTAAACAAGCCACCAATTACGCACTTTAAGGATGGCAGCACCTGTGCAAAGCCTTCAGTTCAAGCTACAGACACTAAAGAATTAAAAAGCAATTATCAGCTACTCATTTTAGTAAAACTGTTTGCTGCTTAGAGCTAAAAACAAAATTTCCAGTGACACTGGTTCTGTTTTTGGGATCTAATAATCTTCAATAGACTATTGTACAGTATATGTTCAAGTCCTCTTAAAAATAACAGATTTACATATGTTGCCATTTTTTACATTCCTTTGTTGACTCTACAGATGTCCTTGTACATATTTTTAGAGGAAACCAAGGTTCTGCTCTATGGGCCAAAAAGAACAAAAGCAATTAAACTAAAGCCACCTTTACTGCAGCTTTTGACTATTCCTAAATGCTTTTAATTTCTTATTAGAGGAGTATGTTGCAACAAAAGTTGGAATATGAAATTCATACCAGCCATAGGACATATCTACTACGCAATTCTAGGATAAATGGTTGGTTTGCATTGCCCCTGGTCTTTATCTAACACTGAGAATAGGCTGCTTTTTATCAAAAGAGGAATAAATTGCTGTTATTGTGATGTTAGCCCATCACTTGGCATTGCAATTCAAGTTTTTGTGAGAAAGAAATGTATGATCTAACTGCGACTTGACCTATGCCTTCTGAGATCCATCTAGGTGCTCTAATGGAGCATAAAAAGTATTGAATACAAGGACATGCAAACCGGTAGTGAAGAATTTTGCTGGAGAAGAAGAGTGAGCAGAAACTGAATTTCACAAGCCTGTGGTTTACATGCTGCCCAATTTGTTAAATGTGGAAGAAAGCTTATTGCCAAAATGTAATTATTTTAATTAATGTATTTCAACACGAATCTCTATGCTTCTAGGCATTTAGTGCTTCCATCACTCAGTCATGTCCTCTGTCTCTCTCTCCATCCCTCTCTCCCGTTTTCCATCATTTTCAGTATTTTGGTTAAAGAGACTGTACAGGATTCTTTAATCATCCAAGTTGTTTTCCTAAAGAGTCATTAAATTGCTTTATTAAACTGCCACAAAAAAAAAAAGATTTTTTCCTGTTTCTTTGTAGGATTTTGCCTTTCCCAATACATAAGAAGTCATGTTAAATGTTTATAAAATACTTGGGACACAGTATATCATAATATAAAACTAGTTCAAGTGAGATAATTTGATTAAGCTCCAAAATCCTTCAGCTGCTATAGTGTTTCCCAGGTTGCTTCAGAAAGGGATGTATTTTTTTTTAAGTAATTTCTAGGACAGTAGCATTTAGATTTTAGTCCTGATAAAGGCTCACTTTCCATTCATAGTCAGAACCTAAATGTGCTCTTCTTGTACCTAAACAGATAATAAGCACTCAGCACACTCCCCCTTCTTGACACAACACACTGAGACTAATCACACATAATTGGAGAGGAGGAGCAGAGGGGCTGGGCAGGCTATTGTGTCCAAAGGACAAATGGTCAGTTTATGAGGCTTTTGTCTGATGCATAATTTCTTATGCATCTACAGAAGAAAAGTCCTGCTTGGAAAAAAGAAAAAAAAAAAAAAGAAAAAAAGGAAAATAATATATATACACACATATATATGACAAAAACCCTCATCACTGAAGCAAACTAGGACATTTCAATTCTGAATGGATAGAAAAATCAACAGTGGAATTTCAAGAAAGAGAGAAAAATCCTAGGATGCAATACATGCCCTTTTAAAAGATTTTAAGAAAACTATTGCCTTCTTGATTAAAGGAAAATGTAATTCCTCTACAGACAGTTATATACAAGCACAAAATACATTATTCATGCATTTTGAAACCGAATCCCAAAATAACATTTGAAGAGATTAACAAAGCGCATGCAAGTTTAAAGGCACAAGAGAGACGGAAGCTTTACACCTTTGTTAATGTTTACAATGAAGTCCCATTGATTTTAGGCAGGAATATAATTAGAAAAATAAGCTGTAAAATAGTAGCAGATAGATGCCTCAATGTTTACACACAGTGATACATGAAGCAAACCCCAATATCTTTTTTAGTGCTTCGATTAGAAATATTTCTGCAATGATCACTCAGGAACAAAAGGTGGGGAAGCAGAACACCCCCCACCTCCCAGCCCTCCATGTACATGAATTTATTTTCAGCAGTCCATCTTAAAACAAACAAACAAACAAACGAACAAACAAGATGTCATCTTCTAGCTGTGTTTGGTTAAAATAAGAAGAAAAGGGTAATGAAGGTTTTCCTCATATGTATCTTTTTCTTCATTTTTCAACTGTAAATAAAAAAATGAATAAAGTAAGCAAACTATATGAATGCATTTTTAAAATACCTGACAGCTCTTGGCTAGCTGTATTCCTTAGTGAAAATGATACTACTACATATTAAACATTTAAGAACTACAAGAAATTTTAATGTGAATATGGAACAGTATGCCCAATATTATCAGGACTTGGTGAGAGCTTTTGGACAAAGTAATACACACAGCAAATGGTTGTACATTACTGATCAAAAATGTCTGTGGGATGTACTCCCAAATTGCTGAATTAAAGAAATTAATTATACGCAGGTAAGATTTAAAGTCTAAATTATATCTAGCAGGCTAGGAAGCTCAGAACAAAGGCTAAAATTAATCTTTTATCAGTAGAACTCTTGCAGTATTTTTAGTCTTCAAGATCAACTGTTTTGGACTCCTGAAATGCCACACTAGAACCTGAAAGTTTACATAAGCATAAGCCACTTCCAATGCTGTAATGCCGTTCTTGATGGGTTTATTTATTAATTATGTTTAATTAAAAATAACTTTCTGTAAGACAGAATTATCACCTCATAGTTCAAGTGGTATTATTCAAATTGAATTCAATATTCAAAATTCAATTGGAAAATCTGTTTTCTGTGACCTTCTGATCTCTATTTTCTTTTTTTTTTTAAGATGAATGTTTAGGTGGCTATTCTGGCAAAATGCAGCTTAAAATATGCATACATATTGAACTTAAAAACTAGGAGAATAGTCATAAATACTACGTCTTGCAGTCACCTCAAATAAAAATGTTGTCAATACAAACCTAAGGAGGAGATGTGAAATAAATGACCCTTTGACAATGACTGACACAAATGAACTCCCCTCCTGAGAAACACCGAATTGGAAGTCAGAATTCTTCATGTCCCCATATTGTCATG